CCGTGCTGGAGGCGAAAATTTTTTTTGACTTAAAAGACTCAAAAAGAGTCAAAATTAATGACTAAAGACTAAAAAACTAGATTTTTAAGTTTTAGGAACAAAGTTAAAGGAATAGAACAGGAATTTAGGAACAATTAAAAGATTGTTCAGGAATTAGGAACAAAAATAAAGGATTAGGACAGGAACTTAGGAACAATTAAAAGATTGTTCAGGAATTAGGATCAAAATTAAAGGATTCGGACAGGGATTTAGGACAAGAAAAAGATTGTTCAGGAATTAGGAACAAAAAAAAAGGATTAGGACAGGGATTTAGGAACAATAAAAAGATTGTTCAGGAATTAGGAACCAAAATATAGGATTAGGACAGGGATTTAAGGTGGGTCGGACACAGTATTAGGAACAGGAACAATAATAGGAACATTAGCAATTTAAGAACAAAAAGAAATTACTAGTTATACTTAAATGCATGAAAATTAGGAACAATATTAGAATTTTGATAAATGAGTATTGATTAAGGAACATTACTAGATATGAACAATATTATAACTTAAGTCTAGTTTCTTACAAATTTCTAATTCTAAATTTATCGTTAACAATAACACTTATCAAATTGGGAAAATGTTTTGCCTCGAAATCTCAGGGGGGGGGGGCTACACCCCTCCCTGAATCTGTCAGGGGGTGGCGAATGTCCCCCCGCCCCCCCTGTATCCGCCCCTGGTAGAGAAAACTAAATACTTACCAAATGTTTTGTATAGAAAAGTACTTACCTATTATTATGTAGAGAACAGTATAAACTTACCTATGATTCAGTAGAGAACAGTATATACTTACCTATTATTCTGTTTAGAACACTAAATACTTACTAATTGTTCTGTAGAGAACACTGAATACTTACCAAGTGTTTTGTATAGAACAGAACTTTTTTATTATTCTGTAGAGAACATTATATACTTAGCTATGATATTGTATAGAACACTAAATACTTACCAATTGTTCTGTATAGAACACCAAAATACAATTAATTAAACACTTTAATATTAACTATCTATCTATCTATCTATTCATACTTAAATTCACAAATATTTATATGAAATATTTTAAAAAACCCAAAACTATAACCCTGTCAGGGCTCAATAATATAACAATCTCAATTAAAAGTCAAGAGATAAAATACTGAAAGTCATAAATGCAAGAAAGTTTGAAAACATATAACGAATAGATGTGGCACATTGCAAATATAAGATTGTCTTTGTATTTATGTTGGTAAAACTTGGAAATTAAAGACACAGTTTTGCCGAAAAAATAAACTCATTAATATGCGTTAGTTTCACTCGTGTCAAACACGCCATGAAAAAACGAGATAGACATGAGCATAAATGACAGGAAATTAACTCAAACATTCCAACATTTTCCCCTTTTTTTAATTTACAAGATTATCGTGTTCAATATGTGAGGAGGGTTTGTGAAAAGCTCACATGATTTATTTCTCAGTTCTCCACCAGGCAGATCTCATCAAAAACCTGTGTTTTGTTTTGAAAATTTGACAATCTTAATAATATGGGTATCCATTAAACCAGCTTGAAAACCGGAGTTCAAAACAATTTACAGAATTAAAAAATATTGAAATTTGGGCAAGTTATGTTCAAAAATTGATTTTTTCTTTGGATAAATTTCATTATAGTACTAATGACAACTAGCCTGCAGGCTACCAGGATTGATGGCAGTGCTCCTGGTGGTTGATTTAGGAACTAGTTTTAAACGCAAATTGATTGGCTTTGGTCGTCTCACAATATGCTAGTTACAATGTCATCTTTATTACTATTACTATTCTTATTATTATTATTATTATTATTATTATTATTATTATTATTATTATTATTATTATTATTGTTATTATTATTATTGTTATTATTATTATTATTATTATTATTATTATTATTATTATTATTATTATTATTATTATTATTATTNCAGCAGTTAAGCAAGTCTCCACTAACTCTTCTATGAGGAAGAGTCCCTCAGCAGTTAAGCAAGTCTCCACTAACTCCTAAATATGAAGAGTCCCTCAGTGGTTAAGCAAGTCTCTACAAAGCTCCTGGAGTCATTACATTGACCCGTGTACGAGCCCACCGTGTAGCTTGCTGCATCACCTCAATTCTCTGGATGACCCGGAGTTCCCTGAGTCTATTTAATTCATCTATGATCTCTAGAGATCCATTGGGTGGTTCTGAGCGATCTAAAGGGTAAGGCAGCCATCCAAAGTATTCCCCTGTTTCTGAGTTGTGTTTCTAAGTCTTCTAAGTCTGAGGTATCCTTGGTAGGTCCTTCTAAAAGATTCCCTTGCCCTATGATCGCCATCTTGGATTTGATCAAAACATACAACTTCACTAGACTCAGATTGTGGTGAACTGTCCCTTAACCAGGGTAACATGTCTTCCAGGTTCCTTTGTAAGGTATCTGCTACAATTCTGGCGTCTGTCCTCAATTGAGCAATTGTCTCCTGGAAGGTGGGGGAAGAAGGTATGATGGAAGGTTCCAATATGTTCGGGGAGTCCCTCAGGGGTTCATCTCGTTCAGGATCTGAGTCTATCAGATCATGTGTTGTGGATAATTCCAATATGTCCGGAGAGTCCCTCAGGATTTCATCTAGTTCAGGGTCTGAGTCTATCATATCCACTGGTGCAATTATTCCAATAAAGGTGAGATCCTCCCAGTGATCCAGAATCCTCCAGTTCTCTCTATCAGATCTGGGGCTCGATATATCCCATCTTCATAGATCCTCATGATCTCCTCTTCACCTGGGGTCATGGGCCTGTATTGATCCTCTGAGTGTGTAGGTAGTTGAACCAGCTGTATAGAGGTGGAACTACATCTCTCTGATTCTCTGGTCTGTTCTACAGCTCCAGTGTTGCTAACCATAGAAACATCTGGAGTATCAGAGTATGTGGGTAGTTGGACCAGCTGTACTGAGGTGGAGCCACACTGCTCTGTTCCTATCCTCTGTTCTACAGTTCCAATGTTTCTAACCATAGAAACATCTGGAATATTAGAGCGTGTGGGTAGTTGAACTAGCTGTACTGAGGTAGAACCACACTGCTCTGTTTCTAATCTATTTATTTCATCCATTGTATCTGTCCCATCTAGGATATCCATCTAATCTGTCATAAACCTGAGTATCAGACTCATTAATGGTTTATTGTTGTATTCTTCTGTATTCTGTATTCCTGAAGATATACTAGGGAAATCAAGATCAATCCTTGTCCCTCATCTTTGAGGGTTAATACAAGACTTCACTCTCATTCCCAGTACCAGTTCATAATTTACCCAAACCTCTCATCTTGTGTATAATATCTATCTCTCAAGGTCTTGAATAAGTGGGTTTAACATTATACATTTTATTGGTACAAATATATCTGTTAATATCTATTTATATTAAATCATATTTCATATATCTGTAGAGTTCTGCAGTGGTAAAACCAGTCTCCACTAGCTCTTAAATAGAAGAGTTCCTCAGTAGTTAAGCAAGTCTCCACTAACTCTTCTATGAGGAAGAGTCCCTCAGCAGTTAAGCAAGTCTCCACTAACTCTTCTATGAGGAAGAGTCCCTCAGCAGTTAAGCAAGTCTCCACTAACTCTTCTTATATAGAAGAGTCCCTCAGCAGTTAAGCAAGTCTCCACTAATTCTTCTATGAGGAAGAGTCCCTCAGCAGTTAAGCAAGTCTCCACTAACTCTTCTATGAGGAAGAGTCCCTCAGCAGTTAAGCAAGTCTCTACAAAGCTCCTGGAGTCATTACACTGACTCGTGTACGAGCCCACCGTGTAGCTTGCTGCATCACCTCAATTCTCTGGATGACCCGGAGTTCCCTGAGTCTATTCAATTCATCTATGATCTCTAGAGATCCATTTGGTGGTTCTGACCGATCTAAGGGTAAGGCAGCCATTCAAAGTATTCCCCTGTTTCTGAGTTGTGTTTCTAAGTTCTCAATCCGTCTTCTAAGTCTGAGGTATCCTTGGTAGGTCCTTCTAAAAGATTCCCTTGCCCTATGATCGCCATCTTGGAGTTGATCAAAACATACAACTTCACTAGACTCAGATTGTGGTGAACTGTCCCTTAACCAGGGTAACATGTCTTCCAGGTTCCTTTGTAAGGTATCTGCTACAATTCTGGCGTCTGTCCTCAATTGAGCAATTGTCTCCTGGAAGGTGGGGGAAGAAGGTATGATGGAAGGTTCCAATATGTTCGGGGAGTCCCTCAGGGGTTCATCTCGTTCAGGATCTGAGTCTATCAGATCCTGTGTTGTGGATAATTCCAATATGTCCGGAGAGTCCCTCAGGAGTTCATCTATTTCAGGGTCTGAGTCTATCATATCCACTGGTGCAATTACGGCGGACTCCAGTGATCCTCCCAGTGATCCAGAATTCTCCAGTTCTCTCTATCAGATCTGGGGCTCGATATATCCCATCTTCATAGATTCTCATGATCTCCTCTTCACCTGGGGTCATGGGCCTGTATTGATCCTCTGAGTGTGTAGGTAGTTGAACCAGCTGTATAGAGGTGGAACTACATCTCTCTGATTCTCTGGTCTGTTCTANCTCCTATTCCTATTATTAGTATTATTATTCTTACTATTACTATTATTATTCTTATTATTATTATTATTCTTACCATTACTATTAATATTATTATTTTTATGTTCCAATTCTTTATTTCAATGAAAGCATAGTTCACGGATTAAAAGATTAAGACTTCATCCTGGCTTAAATAAAGACTGTAAAACTGAGGAAGGAATTGCACTGACTTGATTAAAAATGTTTTAATGGTTATTTCTGAAATTGCATATTTTTTGCAAATATTGAATAAAAAAGAACAACTTAGTGAATTTGGGGGATGCCAAAGTTCATCTTGAAGGCCTCCTAGGTCTGGCTGGTTATAGCAAATTATAGAACAATTCTGTTACATCAAGAGTTTTATCAATGTAAGACAATGAATTATGTCCTAGATTGAGGCAGTGAAACAGACATATTATGATAAAAATGCTGTTCTTCTTGGTGCCCGGGTAAAACATTTTAGAATTGAACTGTTACATACTTTTCATATGAATAGAAATAATCAGATTAGGTCCTCTAAAAATGTTTATTCTTATATATGCAGTGGAAAACCAAATTTGCATGCAAAACACAGAATTTGTGTTTTTCAATTCAGCTGGAAACCCTATCTCTCTGAAATTTGACTATTTAAGAAATTCAATAGCAAAATAATTTCCTCAAAACATTTTTAATGATCTAAAAGTCTGCTTAAAGCTTCTAATTGTTTTTTTTTGTTATTTTTTTATCTTGTTTGAGTTCAGAGGCCCACTAAATGGGTTAATTTTGGAGTTTAACAATCATGGGTTAATGGGCAACTATAAAAATTAAAGCCTGATGGATAATGGGCAAAAAAAAATGTATTTTAGGGGTATGTAGAAGGATCATTAAAAGAGAACCAAGAATTTCTAGAGATTCTATTGAAAACTAAGGAACCTCCTTTTTACTATGGAGAGGTATATTAAATCCTTGTTTATTGTGAACCTGGAAGCAAGAGGTTTTTAATTCTTAATATCCGTATATGCATTTTTGTATAGTGCTTTTATCATTAATCTTTATTTTAATTATTTTAGAATACTTCAAATTATCTTAGGAACAACTTTGGCCCTTTTATGGTTTTTGGCTTACTCAAAAGAATTCGATATGGTCTGAACGTATATATAATCATCTATTAATTTGTGAGCAGGTAAGGTTAAACTAACTTTTGAGAAAATATAACATTCATCAATTATTAAGGCTAAATTAGATTCTAAAGTATGGAATACTATGTTTAAAGGATTGATATTTGAGGAATATTCTACAAATTTGGTAAAAATTTCATTACAAAACTTTAATTACAAAAAATAATTCTCAATTAAAGATAGTGATGTCGTTCAGGGCTTGACACTTTCTTGATTTTTGACCCAAGAATTTTTTTTACATCCCAAGAAATATGCATATGAATAGGAACAGGAATACTCTACTAGGGGTGGGAACGTGCCGACTTTTTTAAAATTTGGACACTCACATCAAAAAAAACTAGAAACTCGAGGCATTCATTATTAGTGATACATTTTATCTTTTCAAAATCACTCTGACCCAAGAATTTATGTTTTATTTTCTTAGTTAATCATTGTCTGAAAAAAATACTGTTTTCTAACATTTAGATTCTTAACATTGATTAATTTTTATTGATAGATGATCATTAACAATTAATTTTTATAAATTTGATTGTTAAAGATGATTGATGAGGGTTAGGTTGCATTTGAATATAAAAAAAAACACATTTTTTTTACAGCCAAGAACTATTAAGTCTTTGTTTGTAAATTTATGATCACACTGCTCTAATTATTAATTACTATACAGAGCAGTGTAGATCAAATCACAAGAATAGGAACAGCAATATTCTACTATAGTGCATTTATATATATGTGCATATTTTAAATGATTTAGGAAAAGCTTAAATTGGAACACTTGACAGCAGCTTTCATTTTACTTGGATTTGGAATAGGAGCTGCAACTTTAGGAATAATAGATTGAATGTTATGAAATAGAAAAAATAGAATTATTGTCATATTAGTCTCTTAGAATATTGTTTATTCAACACCATTTAAATCTATTATTATTTGTTTAGTATTTGGTTTGGAGTTTTACTTCTTTAAGAAGAATATTATTAAATAATGCTA